TTATTGTTTTTTTGTCTATCCACGCTGATTTAAAAATGTGATTAACAACTTAAGTATTTATAACACAGTTTAACGGAATATTTTAATGCACACGTCGTTAAATATTTTAACATGTTGCCAAAAACATTAAAATACTTAAAAAATAACTCATACGCCATGTAGCACCGCAAAGTGTAAATTGAAACGAAAGGTGCCGTTGCAATAACAATGAGGTCGTTGCCACAAACCAATAATTTTTAAGTTAAATGTGGCATAAACGTGTTTTGAAGACCACACCGAACCGACAGTCATTTAACACACACACACATGTATATGGAAAGATACATATGTGAGCGCACATGACTGGTGCTCAACGTCCGGTGGGAGTGATTGAGTGCGTTTCGCCACAAGTATTCATGTTCGCATATATTGGTACGCTCGTATGTATGTGTGTGCATATTTGCGTCAGCCAGTGTGGCCTGGTTTATTTTGTGCGTTACATTTCTTTTTTGCGCGATTTTTATGCTAGCACTCGCAATTTTAGCGCCAAAACGGGCGAGTGAATGCTTTGCATTTTTGTGATTTCTAGCAAATGCAAAACGAGCTGAAAAAATTATAAGAAAAAAATGCGAAAAATATCAAAATATACAGTTTATATTATATGACCGTTGGATATATATAGTTAGCGTGAACCCTTTCATGGGTGAAATGGTTTTGAATTCAGAAATGATATGAAAACCAAATGGAGTGCTTCTAACATAAATTACAAGCCCGAAACACAGACACGCGCACACGCATTTATATATTGGCTGGGATAAATTTGTGAATCGCACACATGCCAATCGTTCGTTAAACACACACTTATACGAGTATATACTCGATATGTGCTGCAAATGTGCCAATAGACCAACGTGACCTGCTTTTTGGCACTATCAACTTCACCTGCTTCGGTTTAGTGTACGCGCTCTACTCTCTTCTCCAGGCCACACATTTGATTTGCTTTAACCGACGCAACCGCCAATCTGTATGACCGCTAATGCATGGATATTGCAATAGAATTTGTTTTTATTGCAATTTTTTTGCGATTTTAATTTTTGGCAACGCGTCCAAAGCCACGCCCTGCCAAAAAAAAAAAACTTGCTGCAAATGGCTTTTATAGGGAGAGAGCAGACTTCATACACAATTGCCTCTAACCATATATACTATATATGTATTTACTACGTACATATATGTATGTACATGAAAGGTTTTTTGTCTAAAACATTTGTGCCAAAGTTGCTCCTTGGAACTGTTTAATATATTTTGTTCTGTGGTTTTATTAAATACAAGTAGTTTAATATTAGCAATAATATTACATTTGACTTACTTTTAAAATTTATAACAAGAGATCCCCAAACACATTGGTGTTGCAATAAATTTTATTTAATCGTCTTACATATAGATATTACAATAATTGTAACTCTTTTGTAAAATAAATCAAAATGGGCCTACCAAAGGCCGAGGTGTGTCGAAAAACCCTACCTACCCTGTAAAAGATGATTATTTGATATGTACGAGTATGACACAGACTTGTCATTATTCTGTCATTATGACAGTAAACTTTTTCCCAGTGAAATAGTGACAGAAATCAAAAACAGATCGGAATACTTTGCGAAGGGCGAAATAATGTCACATATTTTAGCTCTAAGCGATAATGCTCTGAATTTATATGTTTTCTAACGACATTTGGCCTTTACGGCAGCAGTTTTATTATGTACAGTTACATTAAGTCAAATTTACTGACAGTCAGAACGTCAAAAACATAAACGCGATGGTCATTTCATTTATATACGATTTTACAACAATAAGGAATTTTGAATTTTTCTGATTGATGATAATGGTGAATTTTTTTGATTGATAACACACATTGTGTGAAATTTTGAAAAATCGCAATTTTAAATCGATGTCTCAAAAATGTAGCCACTTGGTCCAATCAGCTTTATCAATTTATTTTTCGAATTTGCTGCAATGTTAACTCGAAGACCAAGGATCTGATCAACATAAAATTTTTTTCTACAGGCCAAAAACAACCAAAATTTGGGATGAAATTCAACCTTTTTTTAAAGATGTAGTGGAAGTTAATTTCATTAAAATTACTTTATTGTTAATTTTCTGTCACTAAAGTAGATTTTTTTAGATGCCACTAATTTATTTTCTTAAAGTTAACAAGCATTTTATTTGTGGCAGAGGTTTCATGTAATAAGATTATTTAGGTACTAGGGCTTACACGTTTTAGTCAACGTGAGAGCCTAATGGTTTGCAGGAGAGCAACAACAACTTTACTCATGTCATTTTCAAGCTTAGCTTTGTAAGCTTTTGCACAGTTAATGACGTCTTCAGTAACCAAATCTATAAGTAAATCTCGGTGAATGTCTATATATATTACTCACGTACTTTAACAATGACGTTAAGAAGGATATTTTGGAATGTTTGGATCGTTTTTATAAATCCTCTATAAATAAGTATTTATTGGAAGAAGTGAACCTATTTATTAATTTTTCGCCAAAACAAATATTAATAGCATTAACTTTTGAAATTTTTCAAATTTAAAAATATCGTCAATATTGTATTTTTTATATATCGTTTAGAACCAAAAAACGTTTATTGTACGAGAAAAGCTCGACTATCGAAAAAATGCAGGTACACTTGGGAGATTTTTTCTCAGCTGTCAAATAAGAATTGACATAATAATAGTAGGTTTTGGTTTGCTTCATTGGAATATTGGTTATAAATACTTTTTTCACATTTTCAGCGTGTGTAAAATATTGATATAGAAATAAGTCCATTACATCACAAAATATCGTCAATATTTGATTGATAAGCATACTTTTTACTTTGTTGGACTAGATTTAAAAAAGGTTTTGTCTAAAATACTATAAATACTTGTTGTTGTTGCTGTTGTTGCGGTTATCTAACTCCGGCTTGGGTGGTACGGTTAAAGCTGGTTGTCATTGAGGTCATCTAACGATTGGCCTAGGAAACGTGCTGTTTCGATGAGGTCGGCTTAACCTGCCACAGTATGGAGAACGAAATTGTGCAAGGGTCCCTCTAAATACCCGAGGAAACTCGAGCTCTTCATCTGGTAGTTTGCCTCCAAGTACGCCAATCACTGGGAGGGAGTCGGCTCCACTATGAATGGCGGTTAGTTGGTGTCCTGAACTTTTTGCGTCCGTAGTCTGATCAGCGTACTGTTCGTTGTCGACGACATAATGAAGGAAATAAATCTTGATGTCCCTAGCAGGAGGCTCCACTTCTAGCAAACGACAGCAGAAATGGTTATGTAGGTGTTTGGCTATGGTTTTGGTTATGTAGCTTTTTGGCATAATTTGCAAGCCTACTAAAGCCTCGTTAAGTAAAATATCGGCGAAGGATGACATAGTTACATATATTATGTATCGCCTTTATTCTACCTAACCTAACAGTTTTAAAATTACATATTCAAATCCACCCTAATGTGCTCACAAACGTGGAGTTTTTCGGCAAAGCAATTCCCATTTGTATTCGAAACCATATGCGTACAGCTTTTTTAAATTTTGGTGCATTCAATGGGCCCTCCTGCCTGCCCCCTAATCGATAAGCGCTTTTTTCACTGAAAAAATAAGTGCATGTGTGCATGTGTGCGCGAAGCAAAGCGATGCGTGGAATTCAAATTCAAATTCAATGGGAGATTTTGAATTTTTATCCTTTGCAATTTGCGTTAATGTTGTGGAAAAGTGGTGCTGCGGTTACCAACAGTTCAGCTGACGGCAACGGCAATAGCAACGATGAAGACACACACACACAAGCAAGCTTGCTCTGCTCCCATAAAAAGCTACGCATGTGCTTAACTGCATAACTTAGTACTTCCGCCAAAATGTTATTGGAACACGCGCACACATACACATGCTGGTGTATGTATTTGTAGTCGAACGCGTAATCGCTCGCAAATATTTGCATACATTTGTATATTCTGTTATTGTTGTTGTAAACGTCCATAGCATGGAGTATTTGCCATGTCACTAATGGGCTTTTTATGGCTTCAAGTTCATTTCAAATCAAAATCATCTAAAACGATTTTATCCCTTTCGAAACTGCGCCGTGTAAACGTGCATGACGCGACCTAATGACCCGCAGGTAACAAATGCCGCAAGAAAAGACAGATTGACAGCTGGGGTAACGGTAACAGTCTAAAGTACGAATTGATGAAATTACAATTTTTTGCTTGGTAGCGCAAGTCAAGCGGTTCATTAAATATGGAAAGTGTCTTTAAAAAGAGCTTAAGCCATGAGCAATGTCTAAAAGGATGCCAGCTGTGACAAGCCACTCAAATGTGATGATGATTTATAAGCATAAGGAACTGTTATGATTATGCTCTATTAGAATGTAACCCATACATTATACAGGTCGACTTCTTGATATTTGTTAGTAACTGGAAGTTTTCAGCAGAAAAAGTGGTTCACATAAAGCTGAGCAGACATTGTATTTGTTAGGGTGTTCCTTTAAATTACGTGAGATATGCATTAACCGCTGAAAAGAAATTTATATGCAATATCTTTGCAATATTTAGCAGCATCGATTCAGGTTGAAGAGCTCGACGTAAAATTTGTTTTTTTTTTTATATTTAAGAACAACCCTAGCGTTTGCTATAAAATGTTAATAACAGTTAAAAAGTTCTCCCTTTAGTAGCCCGTAACTATCCATTTCATATATTCCTATTTTTCAAAGGATTCTCAACTTTTTCAAAAGTCTCCGTTACGCTCTTTCTGCATTTATAAAAGAAATAGCGTTAGGATGTATTGAGTAAAGTGTGCTAAACAATTTTTTACTTACTCCTACTTAATTATTTTTTAATTTTCCCAATTAAATTCTTAAAATCTGTTTTTATTGCGTTTATTTTTTTAACAATTCTGACTCCTGAGTTCATAACTGTAACAATAAATGTTAATGCACACATTTATATAGAACTTTCGTAACTTCTTTGCTCTCTCCATGATTTCTTTCAGCTGGCCGCAATTATGAAATGGCGACTAGCGGTGATATATCGATGATCTCACCACCATCGTCTTCCATTTCGAACGGCCAGGATCCATTCGGACAATTGCCGCCGCTGCCACCGCCACTGCGTTCAACACAAGTGCTTCAACCGCTAACGGTTTTTCCAGGTGTGATAAATATTTGATGCAACTAAATCTAAATCACTCAGCAGCAATGTCCATCATCTAAAACGTCCTGCTTGGATATTTGGGCATGCTATGCAATTTTCTGTGTATTCTTGATTTTTAATGTGAAAATTTCTTGTTGTTTTTTGCATAATTCCTTTTTTTGGTAGAACTCCTTTTTTATGCATATTTGTTTCTCTAATTTTTCGTAGTGTTTTTTTTTTTTGTTTTGCTTTTGAAGTTTTTAAAGCTTTTTTGCTCAACTATTTTTGTTAGCGTTGTTTTTGTTTAGTTCTTGCTAATACATATGTTTGTTACCCCTTTTTTTCTAGCTTCTTGAATGAATCTAAAATTTTTTGCTTTAGTTGCCTTCTAAAAGAATTTCTTTAGAGGTCATGTAATCGTGTAGTTTCATTTGATACTTTTTAGTTGTTTTTATATACCTTCGCTAATTGGTGTTATATAATGTAATAATGTTTTTATATTGTTGCTTATATATACTTGAACATATCATTCGACATACATACTTTTATACATATACCAAAAATTGCATTTATTGGCTGCTCTAAATACGATATTTAGTTATATACTAATTGTCGCCACTGTAGTATGTTTAATTTTTTTTTACTTCATTAGAAAGTATTACAGATAAACATAGGTATATGTAAGAACTTTCGATATCATTGAAAATTATCGATACAAGTTTCTGCGTTCTAAGATCGCTCTTTTTTCCGGAGTATTTCTTTTCTAGTTTAAAGACGAGACGAGCTTTTACATACTGGGATAAGAACCAGTGAGAGTCTACTCTGTAGTTAGAACTGAGTATTGACAAATAAAATTTTACTTTTTACCTCATAATAAGTGTTCCTTTTCCATTTCTTGTCAATATTTAGAAAAACTAAACAACTGTTTCTTGATATCTTCAAACTCGAAGCTGGTTTACAAAGTGGCAATGGCCCAAGCCTCTCTCATTTTTGGGTGAAATCAGCTTAGTTATCTCAAGGGCATCTGATTTAAGAAAAATTTTCAAAATGCAACCACGTCTATCTAATGAATGTTCTGGCTGTTTCCAACTGATAATTTAGTCTTCCCAAGCTGCCGCTCAAAAACTAAAAGATCTCATAATTGAGAATAAAAATCAAACATTTTTTACCTTCCAAAAATTTATACAAAAATATAATTTAGGCATAAAAAATACTGGTGAACATGGGCAAGCAAATATATTTTAAGGTACTTGTGACATAGACTTGACGTCAATCTTAACTCAGAAAAACTTATTTTAAAGCAGTGGCTAATTGTCACATATTAGAAATGGGAAAAGTTTTCAAATGGCAAAAATCTCAGCGTTTTTGCGGAATTCCATGTTGAAAACTTTTTCGGAAGCCCTTTTCTTTCTATTCAAAAATCACTGTAACCATTATCAGAAAAAAGCTTAAAGAGAAAATATTTTAATATCAAACTGGCGTTTTTTATACAATTTCTGTTGAAATGGGTTTTAGTATACAATTTCTGTTGAAAATTAGCGAGAGATAAAAAATTAAACTAAACTGAAACTGAAAGACAAAGGAAGCAAATACTATACATTATATTACTTTTCACCCAATCGTTAGTTTAATTAAAATTTATATAAAATAGCGCCATGGTTTTTTAATTTTGTCTTTTTTGGCGTATTTTATGATTACAAACTAGTTGCTATATTAAAAGCGTACTACACTAACAAATAAAAAACGCGAAAGTGTTCAGAAATAAAACCTAAAATATTAAGGTTCCAAATATCAAAAAAAAAAAAACGTAAATAATAACTTAAAATTATAGAGTATATTATGTATGACATTTTCCTATTTAGTTATAACTAGCTGCTTAACACTTCCACGTATCCACTTCCACTTCCACGTATCCACTATCACACAATACACCTGAGGTTGCGTATACGCCCGGGCTGTCCAACTATAAGAATTTATATTGCGTATACGCCCGGGCAGCCTATTTTTCAATACACACAATTTAACATACACATTTTATATTTAACACAAACGAACATAAGCATATCTGCAGTCTGGCATACCACATACGCATCTATCGCCTTTTCGATATTTTAAAGTGATTTCCATACAATTTTCAGTGTCATTGAATGTCATGGAATATCAACAAATGAAAAAAAAATATGCTTGCTTGTTTTTTTCAGTAAAAAAAATATATTTAATGCACAATCTTGTATCTTTGTGTTACAAAAAATCACTTTCATTGTTTTTGACTTGAAATATTTTTGAAAGCAGCTGCCTCAAGAGCGCATTTGCTTACCGTTTTTTGAGCTTTGAAAATTTTGTTTGTGTATTTTTTTCACTTCATAATCGTTTAATGCTTGCGCATTCGCTAAAAACATATGAAGTTGTAAGAGTTTTTGTGCTTTACTTTATGGGTTCACCAGATCTATATGTATTTCCTCACATCTTGATATATTTACCGCATACATATCAAAAACGTTTGAACAAACATGTCTGTTATACAAGTATAAGTAAAGAAAAAAGAAAAAAAAAACTATTATTTGCTAACAAGCTTCCGAAATGCTAATCACAAATCAAATTACTCGTTCTCTATTTCTTTTCTGTGTTTTTCTGCGCGTTGGTTATACTACAACAATTCAAAAAAAAAACGAATAAAATGAAAATAAAAAAATACTTAATACAAATACACATATTATATTTATATAAATAAATTTTAACGCTAAATTTATGAAAACTACAACTACAATTACGTCAAATATTTGTGTTACACAAACAACAAAAAAAAAAATCAAAACAAAAATGTATAAACAATATTTATTTTCCAAAAAAATATTAATTTATTGTCGTGTGGCTTTATCGTTGATTATGTTTTCGTAGAGTGAGTATAAATGCAGTTCATTTTAATTTAATAAAAATTTTATTTTTAAACAAATATTTTAAATTTTTTCTTTCTTTGTTTGCTTTGAACGCATTATTTTGTGAGTTCTTCTGTTCGTTGGCTCTTTTGATATGAAAACATGCGCTACAAATTCTTTGTATGTATGTATATATTTCGCACATTCGCATTCGTATATAGTGTCCAATTTGAGCGAAGACTCTTACGATTATGTTTTTGGTGGTCGACGTAAGACCCCGCCTGCAACAAGAACAACAACTACACTCAAGCTGACCTCACCGCCAGTACGCCTGCGACCAGAAGGTGAGTAAATTTGTGACGACAAATTATTTTATATATATAATTTATACATATATATTGAGGGTATACACTATGCAAAAAATTCCATGCACACGATTTATTACTTTTTTGTTAGTTATTAAAGATTGGGCTAAATTTATATGTAAATGTGAAATTAATAAGCATTTTGCTGAAAAATATCATGTGTTGATTTTACTTGAAATATTTCTATGTGTTACCAAAACTCTTCGATCTGTTAAATCTGTTATGCCTATAATTCAATTTAATTTTTTTAATCAGCTAAAAAATTGTAAATGGGTGGCAATTATTATACCAAATATTTTGAATCGCAAATTTTCCCAAACCTCTCACGTTTTATTTCACTAATTTAATTATTGGTACAGTTTTCGAATTCAAATTCTCTAAAAAGATACAATTTGCAACCCTTTAACCTTCTTCAGTTCTTAGTTCCATCATATTTGTTCATACATATATTTCAAAATTATAGTTGAGCAAAAAGTGGGAACCCTTGCTAAATATATTTTCAATTGCATTTCCTAAATTATTTTAAAATTGATAAGCATATTGAGATTTTTTTTGTTAATTTCGTAGAGATATAATTTTTGAACAGGTGGCAACCCATTAACGTTTCGCAGCTTTCAGATCTAAAACTTCGACTTCGAGCAATGCATACAAATTTTAAAGTTTAATTCAATTAAAATTTAAAAAATGTGGCAACCCTTGTCAAAAATATTTAAAACATCCATTCCAAAACTCTTTTAAATATGAAACACATATTGTAATGTTTCTTATCAAAAATGTCAATACAAATATAATTTTCAAATAGGTGGCAACATTTTAACCGTCTTCCGTTCCTCTCTTCTTTTCTCCATTTTACACCAAATCATTTTGAAATGCTGTTTAAATTGATTCGACTTTCACTACTTTGGCCTCAGTGTACTATTTTAATACGGAGTCTAAGGAAGTTGCACCTCAAAAGTATTAAAAATAAAAAGGTTTACAGATTTTTTTAAAAAAGTAGACTTAAATATTTAAAAAGTTTTAATGGAATTTTTAAATATTACTAAAGCTAAGTCACTGTATTTACCTTTCTTTTGAAAATTTATTCTCAAATAAATATTTGCATAGTGAACCCCTCAACAACCTATTGAAATATACTATATCATCATGTATATAAAAACGTATCTCAAACAATCATACATACATTCTCATAGTTATAAAAATCCGTCTATTAACAAATGAGTTTTCATTAAACTAATTGCCATACTCCACCATCCTTTAAATCTTATCTACATACACTTATTCTCACACACAGATGAAGCATCATTATTTCCACATCTCATTCAATACATTTTCACACCTACGATCAAACACACATATATATTATATGTATATACAATTTACTAAGTGTTATAGGCGCATCGACTTTATCTGTAACTTTACGTCTTCCATTCACAGACGCACACCATCGTGGTGGCAACGTAAATAATGGTGGCCGCTTTTATCGTCATTCCTTCAGTTACGCGCCAAAACGCACACGACACGGCAACAACAGCGAGCGCAATGAAAATCGTGAATCACGACTGAGATGTCATGGCGAAGACGAAGCAACACTGCGCCAACTGCTTCTCGAGTACGTACACAAATGAAATCTCCTCACCTTTGTATTTGCCATCACTTTTAGTCTCACTCGCATTCTCACATTATTTATACTCGCATTTACTTACGTTCACATAACATTCATGTGTATTACTGCCGTTCACATCTATATATCTAACAGCAATTCATCATCAGCTTTCATCTCACATGCATTTCGTTTTTTGTTTTTTTCGTCGTGTCAACGCGACTGTAAATAAGTATTAATTGTTTATTATTATTTTTTATATGTTTTTATATTTGTTTATTTATAAAAAGTTTGTGAGTTTGTATTAGAACAAAACATGAGCTTTTCTTTAAGTTAGCCCTTACAATATTTGCGATCGATCTACACATAGGCGGTATAGCTTCAAGCTCACTTGGAATCAACTCTTCCTTAATGCCAAGCTGTGCCAATTGTTCATGACGAGTGAAGTCAGCGAAGTTTAGCTTGAGTTAAGTGAGAAAAAATATAGAGCTAGAGTAGCGTCGAATGAAAATTAACCTTAGAAAAGATTACTAAAAACAATAGTTTGCGTTTTCTAACCCAAAAATAAAAAAAAATTTAAATTCTTAAAAACTAAAGCTGGAATTTTTTTAATTTGCTTTATCTAAGACTTTCGGGTATTTCAGAAAATCGTCGAGCTCTTAACCTAACCTCACCTATTATTCTTTATATATTCGGATTTTTGCTATACTTCGGTATTTTATGTTAAGATTGTTGGGTTTGCCTTTGGAATTCTTCCTCTTAAATCTCTGAGTTATAAATTGCCATACATCTGTCACTCACTCGCTTCGAGTTAAAAAAAATACACCGTTTGAGCGGGGAACACATAGCCAGATTTGAATGACCTCTTTTGCATTTTATTGAGAATAAACCTACAAAACCATGAACAAGAATACCTAAGTAAGTAAGTTTTAAACCTTTTTATATTGACACTCATTTTCTTCGAGCATTACTCCCCCTGTATGATCAATTTCTACTTTCTTCACTCTCGTCAAGTGTTACCTCAAAAAAATTTACTTCGGATTGATGCTTGGAGCACTACGTCAGTATTGGTAAAATGTTTTTTGCTTTGTCACTCATTTAATTAAAGAACAATAGCAAAAAAATACTCACAACGTTAGAACTTGGAACACATAGTTCGAACATCTACATTCTGTCATTCATTTTCGAGCCCAACGTCAAAAAAAAAATCTCACTTAAGTGCCGCATTAAGTTCTTAGTCAGTATTTTTTAATTGTATTCGATCTGTTACCTTTACTCTTAGGGTATTAACTCGAAGTTGTAATATCAGCTGATTTTCAGTTACTAAGCAAATGCGATGCTGCTAAGAGGGAAATTCTATATCAAATTCCCTATTTTTAACAGTGGGTTTAAAGAGTTGATTTAACTCAGGCCGGTGAATTTTACTATTTTGAGTTTCTTGTGCTTCCGAATTCAACACAATAAATTGAGATTTGATGTTGCTACTTAACTTTAAAATAAGTTGTTGAGCTCTTTCGATCATATTTATAGCAGAAAACTCTTTGAGTTCCCAAACAGTGAGGTAAAAACACCGGCAAAATACTTCCCTACTTGACTGAAATGTGTACTCCATGTCGCGCGCTTAAATTGCAACCGTGTGCTTCATCAGCCAATCAAATCGGTGTTTCAATCATTCAGGGCATGCGAGCATTAAATAACCGTTGAAAGCTTAGCAGAGCATTTCTAATTGAACAAGTACTCTTTAGCACTTAAAGTATTTAATAATTAAAAGCGAATTATCTACGTACCAATAATTTAAAGTGGAATTTATTGGATTTGAGCAGTCAGCGTTGCCAGTTGATAAGCATTTGTTGTTGTAATTTATTTTCACACAACCGAAATGCAAATGCAATTACTTAACTGCATTTGGCCATTGCCAAATACAAATTACGCGCACCACACAGCCACGCACACACATGAGCGTATATGTGAAGCGAGTGCAATTTGTGCGTGACGTAAGCATGTACGTATGTATTACGTATTGCTGGCATTTGTATAGCAAATTATTTGCTTTGTAATTAATTTATGCGACCAGCCAATTTCGATAGCCGAGCGCACACACACAAACATACACACTACCACCAACAAAGTGGCCGAAAACAAATGTGCCATTATTTGGTTATTTATGGTGCAACCCAAATAAACTAATAAATATTTTAGTTTTATTTGGATAAATGAAAAAAAGTAAAAACAAATACAAAAATAAATGCATTTTTCAAAAAAGTTCGTGATATATCCAAATGGCTTGGCATTATTTGCATTTTGCACAGCGATTTGCGAAATATTTGCGCCACTGATTAAAATTTGATAGCATTGTCGTGATTAGTTTGGCAACGACAAAGTTGACACGCGCCAATTAGGTGGTCGAACAATTTGGCTGTCACAAAAATAATTTTTTTTCTTAATTCCACTTTAAAAAAAAATGTTGGAACTAGTTTCGAGAGTTAATAATATCATGTTTTGGTTTAATGTCAAATTAAGTTCAATTAGTATGAGTACGAGTGCTTTATCCATTATGGAACATAAAATGAGTACAGAGAGCGGCTTCATTATTTGCCTTGGACACTGATGTAACATAGAGAGCTCAATAGCACTATATATGCTACAAATATAGTTACTCCAGATTACAAATTGCAATAGATTCCCCCACTCATTATTTTATTTCATATCTCTGAGCCGCTCTCATAGGTCTCCATAGGTATGAAAACGATGATTTACATAAGATAAAGAATTTCAGCAGATGTTATGAAAGAAATCAAAAGAACAATTTTATATGAAATTTTTGCAATTCGTAATATATAATTCGAGCCTATTTGATGGTAAAATCCAGAAAAAGTTATCAGACTATTATTATCTAACTGTAGGGGTAGAAAACTTTCTCTAGCAAAATATATGATAAGTGAACAGGTATGAGTGGCATTGCATAAGGCATATACTTGTATATTTTTTATGAATTTTTAGAGCTTGCAGAAGTAAAAGCACGTGATCAATTAAAGCAAAGACATTATCTATTTATAGGTGCGGAAACTTTTCCTTTCTTTTTTGATAGATAAAAAGGTATGAGGGGCACTTGCAAAAAGTTGCATTAAATATGGCATACACATATATTATAAATGAATTATGAAGCGTTCTGAGGTAAAAACGCTATTAAGCTCTGTCGTGACTTAAACACTTGTAGCTACTCTAGTGCGTTTATTTAAATTTATATAAAAATTGTGTATGAAGTTGAGATCGTAAATATGAATTTTTAATTCAAAAATCAGTATTAGTATTATTGAAGGTGTTAGAATTTTTAGCTTTAATGGTGTTAAGTAAACACCAGAAGCTTGCACTTTGCTTAATTCCAATATAAACCATAACATTAAGGTTATTTTAGTAATCATTATTTTTATAAATGTATTTTGTAATCTTTTTATTTACTGTTTTCTAGTATTATTTTTTTTTGGTTTTGCTTTCATCACTATTTATGATTTTTATTCTTGCATACGATTTATCTTTTCTTCATGCCTCATACATAAATATATTCGATTTTTCTGCTCTTTTTTATGGTAGTTATGGAAATGTGTATTTTTTACACTTGACTATATTCAATTCACCAATACTAACTGACGCGTCACGTTTATAATTAAAATGCAATCATTATAATACAGTTATTTTTTTTCTCTTCCTCCATTCATCGTGTGCTTTTCATCTCTTCCTCTCTCTATTTAACGCATATTTAAATATAACCGTATATAACTCGCTCGTCCAACAATTTGTCCACGACTTGCTTGTTTGTGACCCACCCCCACCCATCTCAACAACGGTATAACGTCGCCACGGCCACAGAATTGAGCATTAACTGAACAGATTATGTTAATTTAAGTGCACCCTCAATATGTCAATTACAATTATCATTGCCAGCATTCAAATTAGTATTAACAATTATAAATAGTATAACAGAACAGAACAGTAAAAAGAAAAACGGTAAATACGAAGTAAAAATTAAACAAAAACAAGGCCGCGAAAAGAACACTGAGTGAGGAGTGCTTTGAAAACGGCGACTTAACGGTACATTAACACACTCGCAGTGAAGAGTAGTCTGTTCAGTTAAAGTTTGTCACAATTCTGTAGCGTGTTGTTGTTATTGTTTTGGCCAGCTAAAGCCGAAGCCGAAAAGGCGCTACACGGTCCGCCATCAGGCAACAAAGACATTCACCAACAACAAGTGGCGAAAAATAAACAAGTAAAAGTTGTAAATTGAAATCAATAAAAAAAAAAGTTAAAACAGAAACAGAAACAGAAACAGAAACGAAACACAACAGCATATTCCAGCAGCTTTATTTGAAATACTAAATCACCAAAATTTTAGATCAAAAAACCAAAACTTCAACGGATATTTGTAGCAAAACGCATAAGCTAACGGAATTTTAAGCAATTGGCTAAAAAGTAAAAAAAAAATAACTACCAAAAAAAATAAAAACAAATCAAGTATTAACACTAGTCAACCGAAAACCAAAATAAGTTGTAAGCACATCAACGTAGCTCCTAAAAACGTTTTAACCCAATACTCATAATATAATCCTAAGCGTAAACGTAAGATTTAGCGTAATTAACTAGCAGCATTGTTTCGGTAGTACTCTTCTCCTCCTCGCAAGTGTCACCCTCCTGTCAAAGCAACAAAATGATGATGGACACAATGCCACCCAGGTATAAATATTTTTTTAATATAAATACTTGCCTTTATTTTTGATATACTCCTATAATCTAACGACAATTAACATGTATGGTATTTCTATTATTTCAAGAAGTGTTGTCTTTATCACCTGAGTGTTGGTTTTTAATTTTTGTACAAATTTGCGTAAAATAATGAAAAATATTTAATATTGCTTATAAGCAAAATGCTTTTGTTGTATTTTGTTTTTTGTAAGTAAGTATTGGTTCTAATTTTTTATATTACTACCCACATACATATATTATATAATTATTTT